GAAAATAGTAGCAGAAGAAAAAGTTCAAGTCGAAATAATTTTTGAGTTTTAAAGTTTACATTTTTTTCGACTTTCATCTAATTGGCTTAGTTTTCTTGATTGAAGTTCTGAAATTATAGTTTAGGTACGATTTTGTAGAGTATTGAATGGCGAATCTTTTAAAACAAAAATTTGGCCGATAACGTCAAAACTGACTGACTTATAGCGAAAATAAAGTAGTGTAACTCTTTATGATCCACCCGTTAATAAGAAGAATGAGAAACGATTTCATTGCATTATTCCATTGATCTGAATTTTTGAAAAATCAATTTTAACCAGTGAGCGCAGAATTATAATCAATTTATTCGTGAACATGAATACTTTCACATTGTGTTGTTCTACCCCGTAATTTTTCACTGAAAAATGGGAAATTCGTCAGTGTCATATTACGAAAGTGATTGACGATAAAAAATGCATAGCTAAAACGAACGGTATATCTTTCATTTGAAATACTATATATCTATTTTGTCTAGAAGAATGTCACTTCTATTATTACATCAAAATAAAAAAATATGTAATAATCTAGAGTGAAATTTTAAAAAGAGGGAAAATAGACTACTTTATCCTACTTTCATTCACATTAAGACTCAAACTTAATAATATTAAAGATGTTATTTTCTTCTTTACTTTTTGCCTCTGTTCTACTAACAAGTAACATACGGTTGACTTTGAAATCTAATCAAAATAAGGAAACATATATTTCTTTTGTTAACAATAGATCCAATTATGTTTTTCTTTTTGCGTCAATAGTAGATTCTCTGTTTCCACTTAACGTATTTTTTTTTCGGTATACTTTATATATATTTTTTTGCATCTAATACCTTATTATTTTTTTCTACTAGAAAAAAGTGTAAAAGTTTCTTTCTAACACAATTTTTTTGTTGTTAGTTAACACCGTATTAACTGCCGCTGTTAAACGTTGAATTATTTATTTTTTTTTTTTTTACATATATTTTCCTTCTTTCAAGTTCTTTTTTGGGCTATATTTATTTCTATAACTATTATTATCTATCAAACATTTTGTGTTTAAGAGTACTGTGCTTCGAGATATATAAGAGAAAACGAGAGAGAGAGGGAAAAATTTTTTGACTGATAATCAAATTTCCTATTTATTATTTTTTTTTCTTCTCGGTCAACAGAAGAAGTTATCGTTCCTGTAATATTGAGATCTCGTCACAGATAATCGAAATCGATAATTTTTTTTCATCTCAACCAAAAAGATATAAGAGTGGTATTCTCTAGTTATAGTTTCTTTTGCTCCTTCGCAAGATACAAAGTTTATAACCTATAATGGTTATTTATACATAACGTGTCAAATAAGAGAAGAAAAAGAGTCATTCTAATTTAGCGTAAAATTTTTTATTGTCAGTCATGCACCATACGTTTAGAGAACATGTTCTATTTGATGAAGAATAATCCTTTCCTATCCTTTCCGTTCCTACGGTTATCTACCTCTAACAAAAAATTCGAGAAACTCAAGCAAACTATTGAATCTTTGTCTAGAATTGAAACAAATAATCGTCGTGTTCAAGACAAGACATTTTTTTTTTTTTTTGTCACTAGAGAGATATAAAAGACAGTTTTCAGTTATTTTTAAGTAAACAAAATTAAGTGTTTTAGCATTTCTTTTTTACTACTAAAAGAACCTCTAATGCGTCAAAAAGAAAAAGTTTTATCTTTTAGTCGGATAAAATCAGTAAATTTTCAGAGATACTCTTCGAAGGACTTGGAAAAGATCGACAGTGTAAAGAAAATAGTCTTTAAAAAAAGAAAAGAAAATTGCAATCGATTCTGAGACCTTGCTGTTTTTTGTAGGTGATTTTAAGAGTGAATTCAATTTCAGGAATCCAAAGAGTCGCCTTAAAAAAAAAAGAACGATAAAAAGAATTCTATATTGTGTTAAATTAAGGTGTAAAAACCAACAATTATTACCAAACACGTTCAATTTACAATTCTTTTTTCCTTCTCTTTCTCGTTTCTAATTTAATCAAGAAGAAATATCATTTTCAATCATTCCTACGCTCTTTTTTCTTGTGTCTGTTCGAATTTCCTGTATGCGTTTTCAAAAGAAAAGAGGATCATGTCCAAAGGTTTCTCAGCACCGGGGAGAGAGAGAGAGGTTGATTAACAAGTTTTTCTTTATTGAGTATTTTATTCTCTCTCTCGCTCTCTCCCCGAAGTAATAATCGTGATGAGAAAAACGAACTTTTTTCTCATATTTTTATCTATAGATAAAGTATCATGTAAAGTGAAAAAAATAATCATATAATCGGAACAGAACACTTGGAAATCTAGCAATTTGTCGAGATATGAGAAAGAAATATCTTCTGTAAAGAAAATCTTTTTTTTTTCCTGGAAAATAAAAAAAAACTCGATAAGTTAATGTAGAGTAGTAGAATATAGAGAAAAAAAAAAAAGAACGCTAAATGTGAGAAAAAAAATTGACAACATGCTCCATCAACGAACGAACGAACGAATGAATTATTTAAAACTTGGGTGTGTATGTGTGTGATGTCTCTCTTTCTCTTCATATATGTGAGACATTGTTTTCATTAATATCTATAACACATAATTCAAATATTTATACTTATCTATGATAGATACATGTATTAATGGCATATAGAAAATAACACATTATTTAAATGGTTGACACTAAATATTATTTTTATTTTATTTTAATTCCAGGTAGGTGTAAGAGTGTGATCCGTTACACAAGTTATAATAAGCATTAAAACAAAAAAGACATTAGAAAATTATGTTTAACACTTATTTTACATAATGTGCTTCTATTTTTATACAAGAGAGAAAATAACGTGTTTTCTCTACAGAATTTTTAATTTAAATTGTAAAAAATTTAATAATATCCTTTTAATCGATAATCCTTTTCAAAATTTTTGATATTTTTCAATATTTCTCTACTGTTAATTAATCCTTTCGACATATGTTTAAAAATTGTATAATATAAATAAATAGAAGAATTTTCTCTCTTAGTTTCTCTATTCTATATTTCCGAAAAAGACTTTGACTTGATTTGAAAAAGACAATTAAATTACTTACACTATGAGAAAAAAGTAAAACTATTCTTTGAAATTATCATTTTTATTTAAATGATTGTATTATGACCGAAATTTATCCGAATATTGATTACTCTTTTATTAGTGTTTGTGTACCTGTCATATTTTTCTCATTTTATCTCATGAACCATATCATCGGCTAATCTGTCTTGTTTGTTTATTGCTTTTTTATGTTTATTTAAAAGAGAAAATAATTTGTCTCTGAAATCTTGTATCTACTGATCCTGACATATCTGTAAGTCAATCTATTAATCATTAATGTAATCAGTGTCGACTAACAAAAATAATCAAATATATCTCGATGTATGTGCATTATAAATAGACCACTCATTGCCATGTTTTTCACCACTTTGTTAAACATAAAACATGTTCGAAAAAAACACAATAAAAAGCATTTCATGTATAAAAAGAAAAAACAGAAACATTTCATGTAAAACTGTGGATAATGATCAAAATAATTTGCTATGTTAGATCTAAACATGAAATTAGATATGATTTGACAAAAAATATGAATTTAAAAATAATATTAAATCTATTTCTTTTTCTAGAACTGTGTATTTGGTTAGTTTTATGTCAAAACTGTCAGCGAAAAACTATTCGACCATGGACGGCCGAACAACGACTCATCTGTGATCTATTGGATAATTATCAAGTAAAATGGGGTAGACCGGTGAAAAATATGAGCGAGGAAGTCGAAGTTCGATTTGGACTACAACTCATTCAAATTGCAGATTTGGTGAGAAATTATTTTTTAGTCGTAAACTAACTATATGAATGAATAAAAACTAATTGAAAGTTTTTTCTAAATATATCTCTAAATATAAATTCAAGGACAAATTCAAGAGTTTAGACTTTTTCTCATCAAAATAGTTTGACAATATGCATAGAATTAACTTTGACACAGACTAAACAAGAAGAGTACAGATGATCTTTACTTTTTTTTCGTTTGATTTTTAGGATGAGAAAAACCAAGTTTTAATTACAAATCAATGGCAAATATATGTTAGTACAGTACCTTTCGAGTATAAAATTTATTGATAATGGACTTGTTCTATCTCACTTCAGGAATGGGAAGATGAATCGTTGACATGGGATCCTGAAGACTATGGTAATGATTTCATTTCTTCTTTTTAGATTGTTTTTTACCTGTAAAAGTTGTTTTTTTTCTATTTAGATGGTTTAATCGACATTCGACTGCCTGTGAAAAGCATTTGGACCCCGGATGTTGCTCTATATAACTAGTACGTGTGTGTGTGTGTATGTCTGTGTGTGTGTGCATTAGTTTCACGTTTCTTTTCGCATACGGAAATGAAAACAAGTAGTCAGTTAATTAACCATCTGTACATCATTTTTTTGGTTTTATTCCTAAAACAAATTAAGAAAAAATTGGAAAATACATAACGTAGAGTAGATGTATACGCCGTAAGAAAAATAAATCGTATATTCTATATGTTTAATAACAATATTTTCTCCTTCATAAGATTAGCCCAACTTGTGTTCTGTAATAATCTTGATTCCTTTTAATGAGAGAATTTGAGAACATCATACAGTGGTTAGCGACATGAAAACAAATTTTAGTGAAAAAACACACTTTGTATGGAACATTTGTGAAGAAATAATTCACATTAGAATATGTCATTTTTTAAATAAAAAATTTTCGAATTAATTTTGATTCATCATGTACAAAATTCACTCATACACCGTTCTAAGAATCGTTTAAAAAGAAAGAGGATAGCATTGAAAAACATCATAAATCAAAGTATCGCAATAAATGGGTGAACAACAAATTAAAAAACTAATAGAAATTAAAAATGATATCATTTCAACAGAATCTAGATGACAAACAAAATGACGATCGTTAATCAGTCGATCTAAAACGTCTAATTAGTAGTATAACTTCTTCATTTCTATGCTATTACTCATTAATGAGACGTATATATATATCTATATGTATCACTAATCTTTTTCGAAAAATGTAGTTTCGAATATACAAATCATTGAAGCTTGATTAGAAGACATAGTCCTCAGGCTTGGAATTAGTACTACAGATAATATGGCATTCCTCATACTGATGACAAGGACAAAAAAGAAATGAAACACTGATAAACACAATATTTTTAGGGTGATTGATTAAATATTACCATTTCCTAAAAAATCAATGATGAAAGAGTCTCTTAACGGTGCCGTTTTTGTTAACTTGAGAAAAGACAGTAGTATCTACGTAAGTGTGACTGTACATTAGTTTTATCCAAGTAGAAACAAAAACTTCGTTACTTTTTACCAAATGATAAAATAACACATAAACATTTTTTTTCTTGTCAATTTGTCTCACACATTTCTTGTTATATATTTTAGTGCCGATACTCGGCTTGAAGAAAAACGTGAAGTATTAGCTGTTGTTTATTTTAATGGTACAGTTTTCTGGAAGCCAATGTCCATTTTTAAAAGTACATGTCAAATTGATATTCGACGATTTCCATACGATCGTCAAAATTGTTCAATGAAATTTGGTTCATGGACGTATGATCTATCAAAAGTAAATTTGACATTTTATAAAGGTCTAGAAATGTTTAATTTGGATAATTACGTTAAATCAAACGAATGGACAGTAATTGGTAATCATGCTGGACGATATGTTGATGGTTATTCATGTTGTCCAGAAAAATATGTTGATTTAAAATTTTTTCTACATTTGGAACGGCGTGGTGGATTTTATAATTATATTTTAATATTACCATGTGTACTTCTATCGTGTTTAACAATGATATTGTTTTGGCTTCCTGTAAGCATCATTAATAGAGCTAACGAATTTACTATCAAATGTACATTCCTATTTAATTTTTTAGCCTGAGAGTCCATCAAAATTGGTTTTGGGTGAGTATAATGAAATAATGTTACGTTTGATATAATCGAGAGCTTTTTTTATATTAGGTATGAACATCTTTACATCATTCTTTGTGTTATTGCTTTTATTGTATAAAAATATGCCATCCAATGCAGAGCACATACCCAGAATAGGTAAGAAGTAGACACTTATCTATAAATATACGTTATTTTTTTTTTAATATTTCAGGTGCTTATTATTGTTTGAATATGGGAATGATTGCCACATCAACATTTTTGTGTACTATCGTTGTACACATTTACTTTCGAGGTGATGGACCAATGCCAAGTTTACTGAGAAAGGTAATTTTTTTCATATTTGTATCATCAATATCTAAATGTTCATTTATGATTTTACATTTAGATTTTTCTTGAATGGTTGGCACGATTTTTTCGTATGGTACCTCATACCAATTCTTATCAGCAACACGCTGTCAACGGCATGTTATCAATAAAAGCTACATGCGATGGTGATAAATTTGAAAAATTCGAATTACTAAAAGAACGTTTTAAATCGTTTCGTGAAAAGCGAGCTGCTGCAGCCGTTAACAATCACCATTGTACTACTACGGGTAGTAGTGGTGGAAGAGATTGTGGAGCGTTTGAAAATGATATTGAAAATCATCATATATCGCAACATCATCCATTTCAACAAACATTTCCTCAAACAGCGGCCGCTCTTTCGGCTTTAACCAACAAGCAAGAATCTATTACAGAATTAAATATCACATTTATTACGGTTGAAACCGATTTGAAAGAAATCCGTGATTATTTACGTACGACAAGAAAACGAATGGAAGACAAAGAAGCAAAAGCGAAACTTGTCAATGATTGGAGACAAGTAGCATTGGTTCTCGATCGAACATTTTTCTTTATTTATCTAATTGCTATTATCATTTCATTAGCTGTTATGTTTCCAAGATAGATGCATTGTTGAGAGAACTTTTACTATAAAGAAGAGAGATGATAATATCTTATTTTGATCCTGTTATTTTAAATAAACCTTCTTAAAACAACATCCTGGATACTTTACGACTTTAAAAATTCGAACTTTCAACTTCCCTTGATTAAATTTTCCATACCAGTTGGGGCTAATTCCTTGTCCAACGCATACGTTTATCACATTAAACTAGTCAAAGAATGCGACAATTTTCACCATATATTTTGAAAAGAAGTTGACCTCAGTTGGCATCGGGATTACAGGTATGAAGAGAAAAAAATTCGAATTTCAAAAGTTCAGACATATCCAGGATGTTGTTCTAAGACGGTTTATTTTCTTCCAGAACGACAGAAATCTGTCCTAATTAACGAGTAACTTCTCAGATATAAAGTTCACGATTTTTAAAACGTACAACTTGTTAATTGTACTATGTTTTACTTAATCATGCATATGTCAACTAATGTAGAAAGGTCTTAGACTGATGCAGAGAATGAAGTAATAATAATGGATGTTCGTTTTACATATACACTTGTAACTCGTCCATAATATGCCATATTCTTTCGTGTTATTGACTTTTTCACTGCAACAGTAATGAATATATTGTTTAATCTATAACTTCAATAGCTGCGAATAATCATGATATGTTTATGGAATAATGCGTGCTGTATCATCGTACTTTACGTTTTCGTGAGTTACTTCTATCGTTCATTAGCTTTATCTAACTCCAGTGCTATTATAAAAACTTGACAATCGTTGCCAATGTCAAATATGATTTGAGTTTGTAGATTATATTTTATTTTTTGAATGTAAATATCAATTATAAATTGTATACAATAATATTATGTTTGACAGACGAAATTTGATCATTGATCGAACAGTTCCACACATATTTCGATCGTCATAAATGAAATAATCGACCTCCAAAAGTTCAGAAATATTCAGGATATATGTTGTTTCAAGAAGATTGATTTCATATCTTAGATGAATCGTGTGCCCTCCTTTTTCTAATTTGATTTATCATTTCAATAATTCTACTGGTTTAGCAATTTTTCGTTTTACTATTCGAGGAATTTCTTCAATTTGTAGAAGTATTTATTTTATTATTAAATTAGCTTCTTTTTCGTAAGATTTAAGCATATAAACTTAATTACTTGAGCTATGATTATTTTGAGATGTTTTTTTTCGTTTTGAACTTATCGGCGCTAGCTGGTGATATTTTTATGTTACAAAAACAAAAAAGCAATAGCTATTATCACTCACTAGACTCTTCAATAATATAAAAGACGTAAGATTCTGCAAAAAAAAAGAAATCTAATAAACTGTCAAGTTTTAAAACCATTTATTACTAGATAACTCATTTAATAACCAAACGTGATAAATATCAGTACTTATTAAGGATATTTTTTCCTTTTTTCACACAGGATATCCACGGATACCACAAGTCTTTTGTTCTTTTTTGTGATATCCTGCTCTTGAGTAAAATAAAATCTTATCTTCTCTTTTTTTTGACTCTGTTGGCAAAGATAGAAGCAAAGGTCCGATTGACGTCAAAATTATACCAGAAAATAGAATAACGGAAAAGAAAATCGATATATTTTTACTTAGAATTTTCTGATATGTTCTTTTATAGGTTTTCGGGGAAAATTCAGATTCCTATCTCAGATCCAAAATTTGTGTTTTTCGAAAAGAATACTTTCCTTCTCGAAATATTCAAAAAACACTGAAAATTCTGCGTTTAAAAAGTCGATTTTTGATCTTAAAAAACGTCTCATGCGTCTCATCATCGTAATAAGGTTTATTTCTTTCAGAATTCATGTTTTACAACGATTCGAATTTTCTTAAAACTAAATTGCTGCACTAAATATGATCAGTTGCAACAATCCATTGATCTATCATCCGATGGGAATTTAATTTTTCATAAAATCTGCAGATAATTGCCTGTCGTTGTCTGGGTAGAAAAGTTTTATTTTTACAAAAGTATCAATTCATCATCT